TGTGAAATGTGAAGTATGACGTGTGGAAGCCCAGCGAAATGACGAGCGGAAAGCGCGACGGTACCTGCGGCCGAGGCAAAACTAGGGAAGCAGCATTCGAAAAAATGACAGATAGTCCAGAATAGAGATTCCAAGGAGGGCTGTTAAGGGCAAAGTGAAGAGGAAGGAGAGTGCGGACGTAGACAAGTAGGAACGAGAAAATGGCCTCCCGCAACGCTATTACGGGTTCTAGACCAGTGTGGTTCTGTCTATGCCTATCTCTTTTCGCGATTTGTCTGTATTTGCGCACGTGTGTTTGTGTGCGTTTAATCTGTGCCTCTGGGAGCGAGCGGGAGAGAGAGAGAGACTGCACTTATTAGACTGACACTAAAGTGGATGAAGAGGGAGTGGGAGAGAAGTCGGGACCACAGCGAAGTAAAGACATTGTGAGTTAGTGACACTAAGGGGGATAAACCGAGATAGACAAAGCAACGTCTGTTTTAAGTCAGGTCATGCCCCTAACAATGATTGAGCCTTCTGGCCATTGGTGTATTAAAAGAAGCAACGTGTCTCTGTTTCTATCCCTTCATGCTTAACCATGCCATCTGACTTATTCACACGTCTATCAATTCACTTCGCCTATGCCCTGGAAATGATAGAAGGTCGGATGGCCTCAAAGCTGGCTGTCCCTTAATGATAATAACTCACTTGATGCTGATTGGTCGGAGGAGTGAGCCAATTGGAAAGCCAAGTCGTGCCTACATTGGGGTCAGTTACGGGTCAACCAAAAGCTTTGACGACCTAACTCTCTCATCTTTGTTATAGCTGCATCGATTACCTTCTCTGCTAGATGACTAGCCCACTTTGTGGGCGCTGTAAACAGAAATTCTGGCTCGAATTTAATTATTTTTTAAGTGCTCTTAACTCTTACTCCACATTGTTTAAGTCTCCCCTACCCTCCTCGCTCGTCGGTCTGGCTGGTTAGAATCCCGCTAGATGGATTGTGCTGAACTCAGAATATACCATTTAGTTTACTTACTACTAAATGTTGTTAGGACGACTTTCATTTCGTATAAAAGTGAATGAGGAAGAGATTCATTGGTCGATCTCACCATATTACGACGGATAAATCTCGTTATACTGCAGCCGTTTGGCTTTTATGCTATATTTATGTTGGCGCAGTCCACGAGAGTTCCTCCCTCGTTCCGGGTGAAAACGTGCTGATCTTTCGTCCATCATATGATGGACATCATCAGAGCTGGGTGTCATTCTTGTAAAATCTCACGTTG